AAAAAAGGGGAAGGCCCTCAACAAGGTAGATTGACAAAAGTGGGTGCAATGATGGGCTCAGGTATATCAAGGATCATGAGGCTGGCACAGGATTGGGCAGTGTTTTGTTCTGTTGTGCATGACTCGACGGCAGCCAACAACAACATCGTTGAGTGACAGCTTTTAAAAGATCCAGATCTCATTTTTCTCACAAGGTTTTATTATTCTTTTTAAATGATATAGAGTCTTAAAAGAGTACTGTTAATACAGATAAAAAATGCATACAATCTTTTTCTTTTTGCATATGCGTGTTTAAATACTGAATATGGGTTACAAGTGAACTTGCCATATAGAAATCTTATTTTTTGTTTTTGTACTTTTGTGATTTTCAGAGTTAATCTGAGCAGATAATGGCCCCCTCTAATTTATGGGCTGCATTTATGGGGGTGTATATCGTGTGAATAAAGCAGTGTTGTTATAGAGTATGACCTCTGAAGTGGGTTTTATTTGTTTTGTAACCCTGAGCATGGTTCCATAGCCACTAAGCCTTAGTTTCCTTATTTTTTAAAACTACCTCCCAGGGTTAATGAAAGGGTTCAGTGAGATAATCTGTGTTAAGTGTTTAGAACAATGCCTGGTATATAGTAAGAGCTCAGTCAGTTATTTTCCTCTGTGCCTCAGTGAGGTCCATATAAGTTCTCCCAGGGAAGCATATAAAATAAGACAAAATAATACTTTATTATTAGCTGTACAGAGTAATAGTGAGTTAAGCTGGACCTCATAACGAAGTTTTAGTTACTGAAAAGCAGAGAACTTGAAATGCCTCCTCTGTGCATTTTTCCTCATACCCAAGCATGTCTCAGATCTCAGCCTGTTGATGTGAAGTGAGGGATAGAGGGGAACACAGGAAAGAAAAGGGCCTGGAATGATCTTGGCCAGGCCTTCAGCCCACTCCAGGTACTGCATGGGAGGGAGAGAAAGATGGGGCCCCTTTTTCCTGGAGGCATGCACAGCCATACTCACCCTGTGAGGTCCTGGGAGGACTTTAAGTCCAAAGCACATGGAGAGACCTGGCCAGGACTCTAATGCATTGGAAGCAACATGTATGACGTCTGTTTGAAATGTGGCCACTTAAAATCAGCCCCTCTTCCCTTATTTGTCCCCAGGGACAGGAAGATCTTTGGAGAGCTGACTACACTCCTCTTCATGACCAACTCCCACCTGTTCTCTCTAATTAGAACTTGTGTTATACACAGAACTTGCTTTCTGTGTTTATTTTTCCAAATCACACAAACCTCATTTCAGGAAATGGAATACTGGAGGATGAAGAGGGTCAATATTCTTCCTGCAGGAACTACTGAGGCTGCTAGAAAGAGCTCCTGGAGAACCAAGATCTTTGACACTTTCTACATTGTTGTGTCATCCCTGATGCCTGCAACAGAGTCAAGCAGACATTAGATGCTCAATTAATATTTAACAAGTAAATGGTACTAAATTATTGATTTTAGCTTACTAATTTTATGATGAGGTAATAGTTTGAAAAGTCAGAAATCCTAGAACATTCACTAGAGATCTGGAAATCTTTTATGTCCTGCATACCTCCTGCAGCACTGTCCAAAAGGCATGTCCACTTTATAGAAACTGCTCTTGTAAAAGTTAAGACCTGCTCTTCTCTACCCCTTAATTTTTTTTCTTTTTTTTGAAAAAGTACGACATGGTATACTGCAAACAACACATGTGCAGGAATCATATAAACTACTGGACTTGATGACCTTGTGTACTCTACTTTCTCATCCTTAGCTTCCTTATTTGAACAAAGAGGATTATAATACCTCCCCAGAGGGTGTCAGGAGACTAGGGAATTCACATGTGATGGTTTAACACTAAGCCTGGCACATTGCAGGTTTCAAAGTCAGTTCCCTTTTCTTCCTCTCATCTAGGGTAGCAAAAGCACTTGACCTATGAAAACCTCTCTCCTGTTCAGAAGCTGCCACAGATTTATTTTTCATCCTCCCCGTGCCCCCACCCCCCAAAAATGAAGTGCTTTATTTGAATGAATGTGGAAATCTGAGGACTGACAGATCTGTGTTAACACGCCATGATTATACCCCCTGACTGCACCCATACCCTTTCATACCTATGGTTGAGAAAGGAAAAGAGCTCTGGTGGTGCAGTGGCTAATAAGGCATTTGACTCCTAACCAGAAGGTTGGCAGTTCAAATCCACCAGCTGCTCTGCAGAAGGAAGATGGGGACAATCTACTTGCATTAAGATTTATGGCCTTGGAAACCTAATAGGGGTTTCTATGAGTTGGAATCGACCCAATGGCAATGGGTGGGAAGAGGAAAGGAGCTCTGGTGGTACAATGAATGGTTAAGGCATTTGGCTGCCAACCAAAAGGTTGGCATTTCAAACCCACCAGCCACTCTGCAGGAGAAAGAAGAGGCAGTCTGCCTCCATAAAGATTTACAGCTTTGAAAACCCTATGGGGCAGTTCTGCTTTGTCCTATAGAGTCTCTATGAGTTGGAATCCTCTCAATGGCAGTGAGTTTGGTGGGGAAAGGACAGAGTCTGTGGTTTTTTGATCAGTCTCCCAAACTTTCCTACCCATACCCCAACACATACATGTACACATGTATTCCTAGAAAAGCTAGGAAGGAATATATACTTGGGAATATGATCTCCAGGATGTACTTAAAAATTCAGTAGATCCTTATCTATATTAGGGGGCAGTGGTGATTCAATGGTAGACTTCTTTCCTGTAGGATACCAGGGTTCGATTCCTGAACTTTGTGCCATCACCACCCATCTGTCAGTGGAGGCTTGCATGTTGTGTGTTTCAGAGGAGTTTCTGGACTTAGATAGACTTGGAAGAAAGGCCTGGTGATCTACTTCTGAAAATCAGACCGTAACCCTGTGAGTCTCAATGGTTTGATCCCACTGTGCATGGGATAGCCATGAATCTTGAGTCGACTCAATGACAGCTAACAGCAACAACAACAGTCTATAAAACAGACTCGATACAGTTTTTAATACAGGTTAAGTCATGCTGTTGTTTTCCTTATAGGGGTGAATGGTCCTTGATCAGTGTTGTTTCACTGCCCCTTTTGTGGGAGAGATGCAAACTGTAATTGACTTATCTCAGGCTCCTTGGCAATCACAGGAGCCACCAATGGATTGTCCCGAGTGTGTTGAGTCCTTGAATGATGAGATTGGTGTCCAAGTAACATGGCATGCTGTATTCCTTAAAGCACATGGTGGCTATTATAAATGTAGTCTATGGTTTTAATACTAAAAAAAAAACCTCACTGCTGTTGAGTCTGTTTGACTCATAGCAACCCCTCCTTGGGTTTCCGAGGCAGTATCTACGGAAGTAGATTGCCCAGTCTTCCTTCCGAGGAGTGGCTGTTGGGTTTGAAGCCCCAGCCTTCTGGTTAGCAGTCAAATGCCTTAGGCACTATGCCACCAGGAGACAGTAAAAATAATGTACAAGCTTTGATTTGGTCTTCTCCCCATCCCAGGTTGCCTTTAAACCTGTTAGATGCTTAGAGTTGGTAGAGATCATGCACTCCCAATTCTCTTATCTTACCTGATACCTCATCAATACTCTTTTATATGTCATTAAAATTAGCTAAATTTGAACATTTTATAGTAAACTCCATGTGTAAAAAATTCAAGGTTGAATAAAATTAAATTATGTGACCAGACATAGTTTTCTTTTTCTTTTTTTCCTTCCTTAATATTTTTACTTTGAGACATGATGGGAAAATCTTACAGGTACACATGGAAAAATAAGATATAATCATGATTGATAGTGAAGACAGTGTAATCAGAAAGCTTTGACGTCAGCTAACATAGAAGCTCTTCTCCTTCTCCCTCACCCTCTCCTTCAACACCAACCTCTTCATAGTCCTTCTCAAGGGCAGCCATGTCCTCACAGGCCTCAGAAAACTCTCCTTCCTCCATCCCCTCACCCACGTACCAGTGAACAAAGGCACGCTTGGCATACATCAGGTCAAACTTGTGGTCCAGGCGAGCCCAGGCCTCAGCAATGGCTGTGGTGTTGCTCAGCATACACACAGCTCGCTGAACCTTGGCCAGGTCTCCACCAGGTACCACAGTAGGAGTTTGGTAACTAATGCCAACCTTAAAGCCAAACTGGATGCTGCACTTGGTCTTGATGGTGGCAATGGCAGCATTGACATCTTTGGGAGCCACATCACCACAGTACAACAGGCAGCAAGCCATGTATTTACCATGGCGAGGGTCACATTTCACCATCTGGTTGGCTGGCTCAAAGCAAGCATTGGTAATCTCTGCTACAGAAAGTTGTTCATGGTAAGCTTTCTCAGCAGAGATGACAGGGGCATATGTGGCCAGAGGGAAGTGGATGCGGGGATAGGGGACCAGGTTGGTCTGGAATTCTGTCAGATCGACATTCAGGGCACCATCAAATCTGAGAGAAGCAGTGATGGAGGACACAATCTGGCTAATAAGGCTATTAAGGTTGGTGTAGGTCGGGCGCTCAATATCAAGGTTTCTGCGACAGATGTCATAGATGGCCTCATTGTCTACCATAAAGGCACAATCTGAGTGCTCCAGGGTGGTGTGGGTGGTGAGGATGGAGTTGTAGGGGCTCAACTATGGCTGTGGAAACCTGGGGGGCTTGTTAAATGGAGAACTCCAGCTTGGACTTCTTGCCATAATCATAGTTTTCTTTAATTATATTTTGTTGTTGTTGTTGTTATGTGCCATCGACTCGGACCTGACTTATAGTGACCCCTCCTTGGGTTTCCGAGGCAGTATCACTGTGAAAGTAGATTGCCCAACCTTCCTTCTGAGGAGTGGCTGGTAGGTTTGGACTGCTAGACTTCTGGGTAGCAGTCAAGTGCCTTAGGCACTACGCTACCAGAGCTCCTGTGAATTATATTTATTCTCATTAATTTGAATGTAGTTTTATATCTTGAGAGATTGAATTGTGGCTTGCACAATACTTATTATGTTTTATCTTTTATTTTCAGAAACAATTAGCAAGACAAATGATCCAGAACAAAAAGAAAAAGGTGAGATTATCAAATATATAGCCTTTAAAATGGCAGAAATTTGCCATCAGTAACATGATGCTTTTATCTTATATTACTAGTTAAAAAATGAGTTTGTTATTTCAATGATTTTATCAAGAAACATTTATTAGTATTCTATCTAATAAAAGTCAAGAGCTAAAAGTCTAGAGAGAAATTGTCTGAACCTCCCATTGGGTAAAGGTTCTGTAAAGACACAACTTTTGTCTGGTTTGCTCATCTCTGCATCCTCTATGCCTAGAACTGTGGAACCTTGCCTGGCACGCAATAGGTCCTCGGCAAATATTTGTTGACTGGGTTCCTTCTTTTGTTTTTTTTCTTTCAGTTAATGAGTATTAATACAAATAGGCATCAAAGGCTCTTTAACTCTATACTGTAAGAATAAGAACTAGAGCTGAGATAGAAATCCTGGATTGAATTCTGCTAGAACCGAAAACTTGAGACTGAGATAAGGAGACTCTACTATTATCATTCCTAAAGAAACCTGAGTGATCACATGATTTCCTTGGTGACTTAAAGTGCCTAAGCTCAGCATACCTGTGGAGTTATTTTACCTACGCTTCTGGGAGCACATAAAAAGAAAATCTTTATTCAGAAACATTTCAACCTGTAGTTTCTGCATCCAGACGAGGATAATAATTCTTAAGTCCTTCTAGGGTATGCTTACCATGAAGATAAAGTGAAAATAATACTGTAAAAAATAAATGCCGTCTCCTCTTATTGTTTTTTTAATTTTTATTTTTTTCCAAATCTCTGCAATTCAGGTTGCTTTGCTTAGGAAAAACAATATAATAAAATTAGGCATATGTAGACTTTACAGTATCTTTTTTTTGGGGTTTAACATAGGTGTGCCAATTTTTATTTTGCTAAAACCTGACTTTTAAAAGCCGACATCTACTATTAAAGTCAATTAAAAAAAAAAGCTATTTTTACTCTTATTAGGAGGAAACACATAACTTAAGAATAAAGTACAGTGTTTTTTTTTTTTTTAATTGACACATTTAACTTTAAGGAAAGTTTACTAAAATCGTCCCCCTCACTTATTTGCCTTGGTCCAGTGAAGATTTCATAATGTGACTCCAAAGCAAAGCCCACTGTTGTAGCAGCCTGAGACAGCCCTCAGAGATCAAGTTCACTGAAGTCTCACTCTTTAGAAGTCTAGGTCCCAGAGTGTAACATAGGAGCTCTGGTAGTGTAGTGCATAAAGCACTTGACTGCTAACCAGGAGGCTGGAGGTTCAAACCCACCAGCCACTTCTCGAAAGGAAGGTTGGGCAATCGACTTCCGTAGTGATACCACCTCGGAAACCCAAGGAGGAGTCACTATGAGTCGGGTCCGACTCAATGGCACGTAACAACAACAACAACAATAGAGTGTAACAGAGAAAGGAGAAAATAAACAAATCTTCTTTGCCATTTATACTTCTTTTCCTATTGTACATTGGTGAGGAGAATGAATTCTTTCAAGTAAAATTCTGATTTTCTTATCAGCCCCATTTTTTTAATCCTTCTACCAGCAACCAAGTTGAGTTATGTATCAGATTCAAACCAAACCTATAAATCATCTCATTTTCATTATAATGAAATCAGTTACATACAATAGAAAACTCAAATTACAGGCCTTAAACAAATAAGCCACTTACCTAAAATAAATTCAGAAGTAAGTCCTAGGGGCATTATTATTTCTCCAAAAACCCTAAAATCAAACCCACTGCCATTGAGTTGATTCCAATTCATAGTGACCTTCATTGTTTTTATTTAGGATTAATAATTACATATGATTCCTTCTTTTGGAGAAGTATGTTTAGTTTATTTTGATGGAATCACATGTTTGGAATAGGGCTTGTTCTAAAATAAGCCCTCATTTGGGGATGTCAGTTTCTTAAAGTGAACCAGATTCTTATATCTGTTTTAGATAAAATTGCTGTATCAGTATCTCCCCACTGGATGTCATCTTTTCCCACATATTTCATATTCCACAACCATAAAATGTGTGAAATAAAAAATAATGTGTTGCAGAAATGGCTCATTATATGTCAAAATCAAATAATTATTTTTATTCATCTACTTATCCAACACATATTTATTGAGTACCTATTAGGAATTGGAATCAAAATAGCCAATAAAATAAAGTCATAGCTCTCGTTACACTTACATTTTAGAATGTATATGTGTGTGTGCACACACATGCACGCACTCACACATTGGAGTGGTAAATAGATTTAAAAAAAATTAGAATAGGCAGTGATACATGTGAAAAGGAATACGAAAAAGAAAAGAGAACAGAGAATGACAATGGGTAAGAGGTGTTGGTATATGCTTAGGCTGTTCAGGGAAGACTTCTTCAACACTGTGACACTGGAGCACAGGTTTGAAGATATAAGGGAATGATCTGTGCAGCCAGCTGGGAGAAGAGTGTTCCAGGGAGTGGGGAAGCATATTCATAAACCCTAAGGTGGGGTGTGCTTAGTATGTTTGTAGAAAAGTAAGGGGGCTAGTATGGCTAGATGGCTAGTGAGAAATGTTTGCAGGGAGAGTGATAGGAGATGAGTGGGACAAGAGAGTTTGCAGGGCCAAATAATGTAGGGCTTTGCAGGCTGTGTAAGTACTTTGTATTTTATCTCGAGTAAGATGGGAAGCTATTGGGAGATTTGAGCAGGAGACTTGTATGATCTGCCTTATATTTTAAAAGAAAGCTCATTTTGGCCATAAGGATGCAAGATTGGAATCAGGGAGACCAATTTAGTGACTACTGCAGTAGTTCTGACTGGAGTTGATGACAACTGAGATTAGGATGGTGGAAATAGAAGTGCTGAGTGGTGGTTAGTGTGCATATTCAGTTGTAAACTTGGTAGGGTTTGCTAATAAATAGTACATGCGGTGTGGAGAGAGAGGAGTCCAAGATGTTAAGGTTCTTATAAAGGTGGGTTTTGACAAATGCATTGAATACAGAAGTAAGCAATATGTTACAGATTTAATGTGTATCAAATGGCAGTTATTAGTTGTTGATTTGTGAGTCTTAAGGAAGTTTGAGGATCAGCAGGATGCCTGCAGAAAGGAATTGTGTTTTTGCTTGTGTATGTTTGATAAAATTGTATTTCGATCATGAACTTATGCTGAATTTTTCTTTTGATTCACACTAATATTTAATATCCCATTATACCATTCATTACATAAAGGATAGGCTTTAGCAATATATATTTAGAATGTTTTTTGAAATATGTTTAAAGACTTTCTGGTTACTATTTTTATTCTTTTAAAAATTAATGATCTGTACTCTAATAAAACACCAGAAGGCACTAGAAAACAAGTCGTATTTATACTAATAGGAATCACATTTTTGATGCATCCTAAAGGCTGATGTAGCTGTATTTTAGCCATTGCATCAGTTTGGTTCGTATAGACAATGATAATTTTTTGTGGTCAACAGGAAAATACAGATGGAACAAACACAAGTGAAAATGAAATATCATTCAGAAGTTTCTTGTTATTTTTTTAATACCTCCTATGAAATTTCTCTGTGATTCTTACAAGTATATGTAGCATATTTTGAGCAAAGTGATTTCCCATTGCTCATTTATCCCCATTTTTATATAAAATCTGAACTCTTTAGTACAGCACATAGAACATCTCAGGATCTGGCTATTTTTTTATTGCTTTCCTCTGTTCCTAATGCTTTTCCTTGCAAAACTCCTATTTCTTAGAACTGAGATTAACTGTTACCTTTTTCAGAAGGCTTTCTTGACTACACACTTATTTCCTGTACCAGACTGGAAGAAGTGCTTGTCCTATGTATTTCCAAGACACCCATTTTTAGAGATTCTTAGCATATACTTTGAGTTTGTCCTTTAATTTCTAGACAAAATGTTTCTTAGGAGTTGGCATCATTACTCCCCTCCCTGTAGTGGCACTTAACCATAACATAGTTGGTGACAAATAAATAGTAGTATAAAAAATACGTAGTTAATCCTTTTTCCCTTAAACTGCTTCTTCATCTGATAGTGGTAACATGAGATATGAATAGCCTAAATAGTGGGAAGAAAGAGTTTGCAAGTAGAAAAAAATCAAGTATGAATGAACAATAAGTGTCTATATGTCTAATTATTTTCACATGGGTTCTTATTTAATCTTGGGATGTAAGTATTTTTAAGCCATAATTTCTCCAAAGTTTTATTCTCCAAAATTTTTATTCTTCTTTCTCTACTACTTGTGGAATTTCAATTACATGTGTGTTGGTCTGGTTGATAATGCCTCAGAGACCCCTTAAATTATTCCTTTACTTTGGATTGTTTATACCACTTTATCTTCTGACATTTAAAATCTGCTATTGACCCTATCTAGGAAAATTTTCATTTTAGTTGCTCTTCTTTTCAGTTCTAGGTTTCCATTTCCTTCTTTTTGATAATTTCTATTTCACTGCTGAGATTCTCTATCCGTTCCATTATTACTCACTGCCATTGAGTTGGATCTGACTCATAGCGACCCCTCCTTGGGTTT